TTGTTTTTGTTTCCTATTTGTTCTCATTCCTTTTAGCCATTTCTCATACAACAGTTAACAGTTAACAGTGGAGTTAACAGTTTTCTAAGGGAAGACAGTCATACACCAAGCATGAATTGAGTATTGCATGTGAAATTGGTAAAAGCAAGGACTCTCTGGCACAGGAACTATTTGCTAGCATGCGGAGATGGCAATTCTCATTAGCAATTGTAATTAATGTAATGTATTATGTATAATCAGTGGGTTAGTTTCACACTTTTTATATTCTAAGTACTTAAGTTTAAGTAACATATAAGAAACAAAATTCTAATTATGATGTACTGGAATATTAATTACACTGTATATATGTATGTCACTACATATATATATATATATATTTATGTATATATATATAGATACATATGATCTTACTTACAGTTTACTAAAAGGAGATACATATCACCATTACATAAGCCCAACCAGTAGATGATAAAATCTCAGTAAAAAAAAAAAAAAAAAAAAAAGGATAGTAAAGAAAAAAATTAAGAAAGGAAAAGAAAAAGGACAAAAAATAGAAACGTAGAATTTAAAAAAAGTCATCCCCCGAATGACGCGTCAATGATCAAGTGTGTCTGTATTAATGTCCTTCCCCTTGTGGACCAGTACAATGCATTCCAGGTGAAAGGCATGAAGAAGTTGGAGAACTACCTGCGCAGGGAAGAGGATATGGCCATTTGGAGGCACCGCGCGTCCCCAGAGGAGGTCGAGTACATGGAGATCCAGTCGGAGCTCGAGAAGGAACTCTATTCGTCTCACATTAGGTTCGTGAACTGAGGTCTTTTGGTGGGGGTGCGGTGTGGGGGGGGGAAGGTTTTGTGGGAGTCTTAACCCAATGGCACCGGGTGTACAAAAGAAAAAAAAAACTCTACGCTTAAACAAACAAAGGCGGCGGCTTTGAGCGCGTGAGTAGGGGACATCAGCCCGAATCACTGGCTCGCCGCGCTTTGGCGCGCCGCCAGCTCGTTTGGCTGCACGCCAGCTTTCGAGCTCTTTGTTTACACGCCGATCGACATCACCCGGCATCAAGGGGTTAACCCCTTCACGACGGGTGACTCTGATAGGCGGGGGGGCGGGAGTGGCGGTTGAGGAATAATATGCATGGGAATAGGAGAGTAAAAAATAGGAATTGGAAAGTATGAAAATTTGAGAAATGTATAGTATGTGTTCATAAGCTTTTTGCTCTTAGAGCTTGTACTTGTTATTGCTCTGTTTTAACATTTGAAAATGCACACTTGCATTATTCTTTAGATTTAGAGTTTACACATTACAGCCGTGTATGGAATCACTGATTTTTAAAAACATTTATATGTTTTGTTTCCTTTTATTATTATTATTATTAATATTATTATTAGTTGTAGTAGTAGTACTAGTACTAGTACTAGTATTTTATTATTACTATTATGATAATGATGATAATATTTCTTTATTTTCAACTCCTTACATTCACAGAGCTGAGAGGATCTTTGCTGAAGCAGAGGAAAATGGCAACCATTATTACTACGTGAAATGGGAAAATCTCCCCTATGCAGAGGCCACGTGGGAACTCGAATCCTTAGTTCGAGAAAGATTTATGCCTCAAGTTGGTTTCTCTTGTTTTGTTGATTGGGAATTTAGCTTTTGCTATTTTACATAAAGAACTACATGTATGCTATTTTATGTTATCCACATTTTTTTCAAGAAGATGGTTTGTGATATTTTCAGACCCTTGTATATTCATGAATAATGTGATGAATTATGTTTTTTAGAATATAAGTTAAATGAAATATAAATCTATCAATTAAATATGATGGCTCTCTTAAGTTCAGAAAAAGTTGCATTATCAACCTAGCTCTTCATCATTCTCATGCCACACTTTTTCATAATTTTAGCTTGAGAGTTTTGAAGTGCGGGAGAAGTCTTCTTGCACCCCAAAGCAGTGCCCTGCACTGAAACACAGACCAAAGTTCTCGGCAATGAAAGTCCAGCCTGATTATTTGGGAGGCGCAAATGAGGTATGATTCTCTCTCTTTTTCTTCCTCTCACTCTCTTCTTCTTTTTCTTTTTATCAGTCACTCTCTCCTCTTTCTTTTAAATTATAAGTAAAGATGGCTTAAAATTAGCATGGGATTACTAGTCATTGAACTTATGTAGGAAGTGGTAAAAAGTTGAATAGGGAAGACTGTTGATTTTTAAAGACTATGAGACTAAATGAAAAATGCTTGATGGGAATCATTCTGACATGCCAAATATTCCTTTAGTGAATAGGATCAGTATTGAATGCATTGATTATTATATGTACATCATGTTAGTACTAGTACTAGTACTATTTATTATTACTATTATGATAATGATGATAATATTTCTTTATTTTCAACTCCTTACATTCACAGAGCTGAGAGGATCTTTGCTGAAGCAGAGGAAAATGGCAACCATTATTACTACGTGAAATGGGAAAATCTCCCCTATGCAGAGGCCACGTGGGAACTCGAATCCTTAGTTCGAGAAAGATTTATGCCTCAAGTTGGTTTCTCTTGTTTTGTTGATTGGGAATTTAGCTTTTGCTATTTTACATAAAGAACTACATGTATGCTATTTTATGTTATCCACATTTTTTTCAAGAAGATGGTTTGTGATATTTTCAGACCCTTGTATATTCATGAATAATGTGATGAATTATGTTTTTTAGAATATAAGTTAAATGAAATATAAATCTATCAATTAAATATGATGGCTCTCTTAAGTTCAGAAAAAGTTGCATTATCAACCTAGCTCTTCATCATTCTCATGCCACACTTTTTCATAATTTTAGCTTGAGAGTTTTGAAGTGCGGGAGAAGTCTTCTTGCACCCCAAAGCAGTGCCCTGCACTGAAACACAGACCAAAGTTCTCGGCAATGAAAGTCCAGCCTGATTATTTGGGAGGCGCAAATGAGGTATGATTCTCTCTCTTTTTCTTCCTCTCACTCTCTTCTTCTTTTTCTTTTTATCAGTCACTCTCTCCTCTTTCTTTTAAATTATAAGTAAAGATGGCTTAAAATTAGCATGGGATTACTAGTCATTGAACTTATGTAGGAAGTGGTAAAAAGTTGAATAGGGAAGACTGTTGATTTTTAAAGACTATGAGACTAAATGAAAAATGCTTGATGGGAATCATTCTGACATGCCAAATATTCCTTTAGTGAATAGGATCAGTATTGAATGCATTGATTATTATATGTACATCATGTACATGGCATGTACATCCTGTCATTTATTGTGCATTCCAAAACTTTAAGCAGGATGCAGGTTTATGATCTCTCTCTGTCCGTCTTCTCTGTCTCTTATTTGAAGTTCAATATTAATCTTTTTGTTTCTCCCCCCAAAGAACCTAGAATTGCGTGATTACCAGATGGATGGAGTAAACTGGCTCATTCATGCTTGGTGTAAGCACAATTCCGTCATACTTGCTGATGAGATGGGTCTGGGTAAGTCCATTATGTTTCATTTTTATTGTACTGGGTACTGCTTGGAAATATGTGATGTTAGCTATTGTTAATATTATTATTATTGTTGTTGTCATTGCTCTCGGCACAGTCATCCTTATCATAGTTTTAATTAACATTATCATCGTCATTCTCAATCTCATAACTAATGTGATGATGGTAATGAAAATGAGAATAACACTGTTTCTATGCAAATAATTTTTGCATGTAACAGTGTTATGTTGTAACAAGAATCTGATGAGATTGTCCTCTGTTTGTTCCAGGTAAAACCATCCAGACTATAAGTTTTCTGAGCTACCTTTTCCATACACATGCCATGTATGGTCCCTTCCTCCTAGTCCTACCACTCTCCACCCTTAATGCGTGGCAGCGGGAATTCAACAACTGGGCTCCAGACATTAACGTCATTGTTTACATCGGTGACAGGGACTCCAGAAGAATTGTAAGTTTGTATGTGTGTGTGTGCGTGCATGTGTGTGTGCATCCGTGTGTGTGTGTGTGTGTGTGTGTATGTGTGCATACGTGTGTGTGTGCTTGCGTGCGTGCATGTGCCCCTGCACCCATGGATGTGTGAGTACAAGGTATAAATAGAATTTTGTTGTTGTCTTTGCTAAATATTTGAAAAAGGCAGTTAGATGCTGAATTAGAAAGGCTTCCTCCATCTAGTTGACATGGAAGATAAAATTTTGAAGGTAAATTGAAGATAATACAAGCTTTTTCTTGCCATCTAACAGGTGAGAGATTATGAGTGGACAACCTCCTCCAAAAGGCTCAAGTTCAATGCTGTTCTCACAACTTATGAGATTCTTTTACGTGATAAAGAAGACCTGAGAGACAGCTGTCAGTGGGCTTGTCTGGTGGTTGATGAGGCACATAGGTGAGTGAACTAACATTCTTTTGGTTTGAACATGTTGTTTGTAATGCTGTTATATCCGTTTAAGAATCATATCATCCATGAATTGCAGTGTTGCTAAAGCTCATTTTTTATATAATCAGTTTATATTGTGGGTGATTATTTCTTGTGGAAAGCAATAATCTCATTAGGCATTGTAGTGCCATATACTAATGATGTAGTTAAACCACTGTATTGAAGTATTTACTATGTTCCATGACTCTTCATAGGTTTTTCGTATTCCTGTCCTCTTCACATCTGATACTTAAATTTTTTCTATTCCCTGTTGCTAGGCTCAAGAATGAGGAGTCTCAGCTGTACCAGGCACTGAAGGAGTTCCGCTCCAACCACCGTTTGCTCATCACTGGCACACCCCTCCAGAACTCTCTCAAGGAACTGTGGGCCCTCCTGCACTTCATTATGCCTGAGAAGTTTGATGACTGGGACTACTTTGAGTCACAGCATGACAGTGAGAACATGAGGAAGGGTTTCCACCGCCTCCATAAGCAGCTAGAGCCCTTCCTTCTGCGTCGTGTGAAGAAGGACGTGGAGAAGTCCCTCCCTGCAAAGGTGGAGCAGATCCTCAGGGTGGACATGATGCAGCAGCAGAAGCAGTTCTACAAGTGGATTCTCACCAAGAATTATGACATGCTCAAAAAAGGTATGCGATAGGTGTCTGTTTACTTTATTTTTCATATGGAATATGGAGAACTGTACAGGAAATATAGGTAGATATACATCTATCTAAATATCAATCTCTGTGTCTATAGATGAAATATCCTCTCTTATTAATCTCTCTTTTGTGTTGAACAGGGAACAGGGGTTCAACTTCAAGTTTTGTAAATATTGTGATGGAGTTGAAGAAATGCTGCAACCACAGTCACCTCATTAAACCTCCTGAAGATACTATATCAACAGAGATTCTACAGGTAAGATGTTTTACAAGTTTTATATGGAAAGGGTGTGGTTATAAAGTTGTGTAATCAAAATTACATAATGTTGGATAGAAATTTACAGTACTGTCTTGATCAGAGAGGTCAAGCATTCTTCAGATTTTCAATCTCAGTTTTATGTAATCAAACGTAATTAAAAAGTGTGATGTTATAATAATTCCTTGTTTTATTCTATATCTATTTTGTCTCCCCACTTCTGCCATTTTAGATCTCACTTTGTAAATATCTGTTTTGACCAATTCACTCCGCCACTTTCCAGCAATTATTAAGAGGCAGCGGCAAGTTAATGCTGTTGGACAAGCTTTTGGTCAGGCTGCGGGAAACGGGGCACAGAGTCCTCATCTTCTCCCAGATGGTGCGCATGCTGGACATCTTGGCACAGTACCTGCAGTACCGCCGCTTCCCCTTCCAAAGGCTGGATGGCTCTATCAAGGGTGAACTCAGGAGGCAGGCACTCGATCACTTCAATGCTGAAGGTTCTCAGGTGAGGGGGTGGTAAAGGTTCATAGTGATGATAATAGTGTTAACAAATACTACAGTGAAAAGGTATTGCTAATGATAGCAATAATGATGGTAATAAGAATGACATCAATGATGAAATAATGTTATTAATAATGATAATAGAATTAACACAGGTATTGATTATGATAATGATAATTATAATTTGAGAGTAATAATGATTATAAAAATGAAAAGGAAATAAAAATTATGATGATGATAATGGTGTTAATATTGGGTGTAGTAATAATGATGATATAGAGTTCATTATGTAATAATCAACAGTATGAAAACAATAATAATGATAAGGATGGTAGTGATGATTTCTTTTTTTGGAAATATTGACATGTTTACAGGATTTATTTCATTTTGATAGTAATGGAAATGTTGTTACTTTCTCAGTTTAACTGTAACTGTAATTTATAGCTTACACAGTTCAGAAATTTAAAAAAATTATTCTTACACTTCAGGATTTCTGTTTCCTCCTGTCCACTCGTGCTGGAGGTCTTGGTATCAACCTCGCTACGGCAGATACCGTTGTCATTTTTGACTCAGATTGGAATCCCCAAAATGATCTGCAAGCGCAAGCAAGAGCACATCGAATAGGTCAGAAAAATCAGGTAAGAAGTGAATGAGTTTACATGAGCTCGAGATTTTGTCCTTTGATTTCTCAGTATCTATTGTGAAGACTTTTCATAATTAAATTTTCAGTGGAGTTTGAGTTTGATATTCTGATATGTGGGACGTTTGTTGAGGAAAGATGGCATGGTTGTACAGCTGCAAAATTGGATATGACATATTGGTAAACTGTATTGGTTTGAAAATTTATGAATATTATGCATGCTCTAAGCTTAACAAATTTGTGATTTATTAGATGCAGTGATAGCTAGTTGATTGCCAGTTTGGTTGATGAATTGGGAGCTCAACATACGATACACATTTCAGGTTAATATTTATCGGCTGGTGACGAAAAATAGTATAGAAGAAAATATTATTGAGCGCGCGAAACAGAAGATGGTCCTCGATCATCTTGTTATCCAGTCCATGGACACATCTGGTCGCACTGTCTTCAATAAAAAAATGTCTAGTAAGTGTGCAGGAATAAATGTTTATAATATATTAAATTTTCGAAGAGAAAAAAATGGTATTGAAGTGAAAACTGACATGGTAAAAGAAATAGTATTTGTAGTTTAAGTAAGTGAGGTGTTTTTACCTCTGATTATTTTATTTCGATTAAACTCTAGTAACCAAAAACTTGTTTTCTAGGCTCAAATTCTAACCCATTCAACCGCGAGGAGTTGAATGCCATCCTAAAGTTTGGTGCCGAAGAACTTTTTAAAGATGACGAGGAGAATGAGGAGGAGCCAATGGTAAGAACACTTTCCTGCCTTTAAACTTTATGGGTGGGTCACGTATACAAACACCATAACATACCACTTGGTCTGTGGGGTACAGCTGTACACACTGTGACGCACCAGAGCAAGTGGATCATGAAGTTCCACTACTCATAGTGGCCAGTGTGTGGACGTTGCCAGAAATCACCAGAGTTTATGGCACTCAGAGATTTCTGATACCGGTCACCATTGTGTTAAGTAAATCAGTAAAGAATAAACATAGTAAACAGGTAGCTACCTTTTTTCTAGATTAAACTTTTTTTTTTTTAGCTTTTCCAGCTGTCCAAGACCACATTAACATTCATGAACAGACAAGCGATGATACAGTAGGAACAGAATGCTCAACCTATTTCTCTCAACAGTGTGATATAGATGAGATCCTGAGGAGAGCCGAGACGAGGGACGAGGCTCCGTCCATGGCCAGTGATGAGCTCTTGAGCGCATTCAAAGTGGCTTCCTTTAATCTAGATGAAGAGGAGGAAGTCTCCAAGCTTGACTCCATTGCTGATGAGAGCACCAAAGACTGGGTAAGAAGCTACACTTTTCGTGTTTTTTTTTGTCATTGATGTTAATAGTAATAATTGCACTGGTTGCTCATAATAATAGTGATTTTTATATACGATTGTTTTGAGATTCTCTGTATTTTACTCTATATGTTTATTTATTTATTTATTTATTTATTAATTTATTAATTTTCTATTACAGGATGAAATTATCCCAGAGGATTTCCGGACCAAAGTTGAAGAAGAGGAGAAGCAAAAAGAAATGGCCGATCTCTACCTGCCCCCAAGAAAACGGAAGACAGTGAATCAGGCAGGACAGAAGGTAGGAGTTTATGTTGTTATAATAATTGTGTTTGTACACAAACACAATTGTGTTTGTACAATTTGTCTGTACATATATGTGAGAATTTTTGATAATACACTTTTTTTTGTTATTCGCAGTAGGTTTCATTATTTCAGGTTTTGTTACTAAACCTCTGTTTCCTCTTTTTCTTGCAGGAAGATGAATCTCCTCGAGCCAAGAAGAAACGCCAGGACTCTGAGTCGAGCAATGACGATACAGATGACGACAAACCAAGAAAGCGAGGTCGGCCTCGCATGCACCATAAGGAGACCATTAAAGGTTTTACTGATGCAGAGGTAAGTTGTTGGTGGCAGAATGGGCAGAGTGAGTTGGATGAGTGGGAAGGGTTGGATTATGGAAAATGGCGGCTTTAGGGTTGAGGAAGATTGGGTGACTCACAGATGCAATCGAGGCAATGAGTTTAAGGTGATAGAAGAGGGTTAGATGGTTGAAAAGTGAGGATTAGGTTTAGATTAAGGAGGTAATAACAGGAGAAGTAAACTGGGATATGGCAGTTAGCCCATGATTCTGGGAAATGTTAAGTAAGAGTGCAATATTTTTTAACTTTGTCATTGATGGTGGATCAGTTAATTATTATATTTCATTAAACACTGAATTTTGAAAGAAGTGCACTGAACATAGAACAGCCTCTATTATATTGACATGTATAGATGCTATTTGGAATCTAGGCTCACTCTCACCTTTACATGTACATGGTTGTTATCCAGTGTCATAGAGTTTGAATAGCTATACTGTAAAGGTGAAGGAAGTGTGTATATATAGTTTAAGAGTAAGAAATAGTTATTTTGAAATGAAATATTTGATGTTTTTTTTTTTTTTCCTAATGCAGGTCAGAAGATTCTTCAAGAGCTTCAAAAAGTTCAGCAATCCCTTACGACGTCTCGACACTATTGCTCACGATGCTGATCTCAGAGAGAAGCCCATCAGCGACCTGCGCAAAGTGGGCGAGACAATATATGAGAGGTGCCAGGATGCTATGAAGGAGCACGAGAGTCAGAAGGAGAATGAAAAGGCACCTGAAGTTAATGGTAAGGAAGAGTTTATGAAACTACAAGAGTATCAGAAAGCCTCTCTCCCTTTCCCTTTCCATTTCCCTTTCCCATTCCCTTTCCCTTTCCCATTCCCATTCCCTTTCCCTTTCCATTTCCATTTCCCTTTCCCATTCCCTTTCCCTCCTACCCTTTTCCTCCTATCCTGCATCACTGCTCTAAAAGTCAGGGAAAAATAGTAAGTATAACTCCATTTTCCCCAGGCCAACCCAAACAACGCAGAGACCGTGGACCATCGTTCAAGCTCTCTGGGGTGGCTATCAATGCCAAAACCACACTGGCAACCATAGAGGAGCTGGCACCCTTGGACCACATCGTCCCTCACGCACCAGTTGAGCGAGCGTCGTGGACCCTGCAGATGAAGCGGGTCAAGGATGCCCACTGGGATGTCCCCTGGGGCATCCAGGATGATTCCAGGTAGGGGATTCCATTCAATGTAAACATTTAATGTTTAAATATCCAGGGTTGTATGTTCAGTATTTAAAGCAAGGCAGAAGAGATTTTGATAGACTTGATAGTTCATGCTTAACATTGAGTTTTCATGGTAAATTGAAAATACTTTCCTAGTTCTTTCCATCTTCAATAATTGGTGCCTCTTGGCTCAGGTTACTACGTGGTATTTACGAGTATGGAATGGGATCCTGGGAACAAATCAAGGGAGATCCAGCTCTAAACCTCGACGATAAAATCCTCCTTGGGGGTGAGACCAAGCCTCAGGGTAAACATTTAGAGAGCAGAGCACAATACTTACTTAAACTAATCAAGAAACAGATGGGTCTTGGACCAACAAAGGTTAGTGGTCGCAAACTCTTGTAATCTTTTTCTTAATACAGATAATTGTGTATGTT